TTTTTGTATTTCTTGCAATTATAATGCCTCTTTTGTTTATAATTACCAAATAAGTTGGCACTAATCGCAGAGGACTTTTGATCCTTTTTTGCCGCATTCGCTCAGCTAGAGAAGAAGGCTGGGGGGAAAAGGCATCAAAAGGGATGGCTGGGTGGCCGCTTCAGATCGACAACACATTTGATCTAGGATGGGAATCCAATGATTAATATAGAGAAATGTTCCCGAGGGAAGGGAAAGAACACAAAAACCTGTATTAGGTTTCAACGAATACACACTATCAATTTGCCGAAAGAAGGGTATATTTAAGCCCTCCTATTCGCGGGATCTTAGTTGTGGTAAACATTAAAAAAAAACATCTCTGACAATGAGTGGACTCTGTGCTCTGTGTGTTCAGCCAGGTAATTAATGTTTAAAATTATGCAGCTTTTTCGAAAATTGAAAGAACTAAGTTTAATAGAACGAACAATAAACATTAATCATTTCTAATTGAATCTCATTTGCACAAAATTTTCGTTTGGTTGCCATCAATGAAAAGTTACAAAAAATGGCAATTGTTGTTGACTTTTTTAATTATTGAAGTTGTTGGAATGGCATTTTAAATCACTATAATCTTACTTAATTAATGCGTAAAGTTTCGTCCGTCTTTTACGCAATTAAAAATGATAGCATTGTGGCAGCGGTATTATTCGAAATCGAAGTTTGAAGAAGCTAATAGCAATCAATTATTTAAACTTTTAATATTAATGACGATTTTAATAAATAAATGAATAAATAGTGGAAATAAAGTTTAAAAATATTCAAAATCGTTCAAATTTTAAGGCTTTGTTTCATGGCAAACTCTTTATTTGTCCTCTACTCGAGCTTCTCTTCCCAAACTCTCTCCATCTCATTCGCCAAAGCATCCCTCAGCTATTGTGTCAATTTGCTGTACTCTCCTTTATCGTGATAATTTTAAATAGTATTCATTCCAGCCCAATAGGATTTCTCATAGCTTGTGATTTACAAACGAGTTGTCTTGAAGTATCTACAATTTTTCATCTCATTTACAGGAACATATCAGGTAAACTCTGGCCTAGATTTTAACTTTATATATTTTTGGATTTACAATTTTTGAAAACTGGTGCCTACGTTTAAGAATTCCTTTTTAGGAGAACTTATCACTGACCCAGATTGTTGCAACTAATTAATTATCATAGCGATTTCTTTGCTAGCACTTATATTCCCTATTGTAGTTTGTTGATTTAAACTACCAAGTACCCCAAATAAATAATGACCACGATTATATTCTAAATTATACATATATATATTTTTACATAACATTACTTTAGGTCATATGTTATTGACCATAAAGTGTGTATTCTTTCGTCGAATTTGACTTGTACAAACGAAAATCCTTGTATTTAAGTTCCTTTTCCAAATACTTACTTCCCTAGGCGTCACCAAAGGGCGAAGTTAAAAAGTCCCCCCCCCCTCCAGGCTTTCTGAACTGCAGCAGAGTTCGGAAAAAAAGAAGAGATTTAGGTTCTAAATTTATTAGCAAATTGGCGATATTTAGTCCGGATGCTTTGAGGTCCTCACTTGCCACCTACGTCGTCAGCACTGGTGTTAATTGCTGTCATTAAGAAAAAGAATTTAGCCCATTCATTTGCTGCTAAAGACACTATCTGAACGAAATGATGAAATTAACGGATGCCAACACACTTCATTCCCCTCAATGTCCTCTTGGTGGTAAATAGACCAAGGTTGTCAACTTATTCAGAATACTGAAAAGAAATAGTAAAATTTATTTATTTATTTATATCAAATGGCAGGCGTTTTGGTGGTCATCATTAGCCCTTTAGCTGACTTCAGGCTTCACAGAGGGGGAAGGAACATCAAAGTGAAAAAAGTCGAGAAGGGGGAACAGAAGAGTGTTTCAAAGATGAAGGTAGAAAATTTAGAAAAAAATGTGATGTGAGTACTGCAGAAGTATTCGAATATGACATACAGCGGAGTCAAAAGTCAACTGCCGGTTAATAGACTTTTTTGCCGTATGAAAAGTGATAAGTCAACTGCCGGTTAATAGACTTTTTTGCCGTATGAGTGGGTTGCCCAGGGTGCACCGCGTGGAGGTAAGTCTATCGCAACAACTGCCGGTTAATAGACTTTTTTGCCGTATGAGTATACGGTGCCCAGGGTGCACCACGTGGAGGTAAGTCTAAATATACATTGCCCAGGGTGCACCACGGAGGTAAGTCTATTGCACACCCCATGATACCTATCATAACGCCTGCCATTTGAAAGTACGTTACCCAGGGTGCACCACGTGGAGGTAAGTCTATCGTAAAATTGATGCCGTTATTAATAATAAAAGTGGACAATTTTTTTGGTGGTAGTAATGATAATCTTATTGAAGGGAGGGGGATTAAAGTATTTAGGTTCGATATACACCTTTGCACGTTTAGGAAATTGCTTGCCAAACCGCACCAAAAGAAACTCGAAGTGACAGGATTCGAGTATTGTCATCAGAAAAGCAGTAAATCACAAATATTTTGTCTAATATAGGCTTTGGGAAACATTCATTTTCGATGAACTGGGCATTAATGATACACACAAATAATTGAAATCGTTTTAGTGAGAAAAACAGTACTTTGCAGGACAAGGGCGTTTTGGGTTAGTTGTTTTAAGCCTAATTGTTGGTATATGCAATGAAACATGGCTCAGAGACATAACTTCCAAAGTGCCAAATAAATAATGATCTGCCTTTTCACTATTAGAATGCGGCACGAGCTAGGGTTCACCATAGTCTATCTCTACTCTGAAAACAACAAACTTTACCCACTCAAGTACCAGAGTCTGAAATTTCGGCTTTAGAACAACAGGCACTTCCAACGCAAGCTCGACCAATTACAATAAATTCCGAAGAATTCGGAGTTCAGATGAGGATGGAATCCTTTGTTCCTCCCCCCTCACACCCACCCCCCCCCATTTTTTTGTATTCACATATTTTTGCTGCCTTTTATCTTTACCATGGACGATTTCAGTGGTTGTAACCGATGCTCATGAGATGTGAGCTATTTTCATCTTGTGTTCAGGATTCTCACCAAGTGGAATTGTTTGAATGCTAATTCAATCCACCTTATACGCGTTCTGTGTTGTATGTCTTCCATTGAATTCGAATTTGCATTTCCAGTTCGTTTATTTAGATAGGTAGATCAGTGGTCACTGCTGTAGGTAATTGTATTTATTATGCATGCAGGGAGTTTCCATTTTAAGACAGTATAAAAAACCGTTTCTTGCCAAAATTTTTCCGAATATTTTTTTGCTTCCCTAAACTGCACATGATATGTAAAGAATAAAAATCATGAGAATTCTCTTTTTCGCTAAAAATTTAAATCAAAAAAGGTCGTACAGTTTAATTTTAATCAATACTTGGGGTAAAGAACTCCTTATTAATACACTTTAAAATTTATTCCTAACATTATTTCATGCTTAAAAGTTCAAAAAAACATTTCATTTAATTAGCACAATGGATACTGAAGGCTATTTTTTCACTCACTGCAAATAAATGTAATTTATATTTCTACTAAAGTCATTGAAATGTTGCTAAAGCAGAAGTTAAAATCATACATTAAAGAATTTTGTTTTGAATCAGTCGTATCCAATTAAATTCCACCAGTATTGACTTTTCCGTTCTCATTGAAAGCACACAAAAAATTAGTTCTACACGTTGACTCCCAGTTTCATGGAGGCAATTATGTCAAACATGCCAAATGCATCATGACCGGTCGATTTACTTGCAAGGATGGTTTTGACAATCATATTTTCCGGTAATTTGTTAATAAAACGGTCCATTGAGGCTATCAAAAAAATTTTTACCACTTTAAAATCATTACATAGTAAGTAAAGAAACAAACAGCTTTAACTGTACGCACTTTTAACAATTCGCTTTCACCAAAGTATGTGTTCAAATTTTCAACATATCGTTTTTCTGAATATCTGTATGGACAACATTACGTTCGTATGTAGAGGGGAGGCATTTGATACTAACGACGGTATAAATAAAATAACATTCACATTAGATGCTATTTTCTTGTCGATTTGGCAAATTCATCTGGGGGGGGGGGGGTTGGGGCTGAATGTTATATTCAATGACCTTGAATTCCGAGTCTTTTATCAAGATAGTTCTTTTATTGGTAAATATGATTTTTTCAAAGTAGAGATACGTCATTAGCTATTTTTCCTGAATAAATTTCTGGTCGTGCCATTGCATAAAATGGTTCTTCAACCTTGAAACCATTAGTTATTTCATTGTAAGCAGAAAGCAAAACTTGCACTATGAAAGTCTAGTTGTTATGATGTTCATTAAAATAAGTAAAGATACAAGGAAAAAAATATTTCGATAAATAGAAGGCGTTAGTCAATTTTTTTACAAGGAATATGAGTTTGGGGAAAATCTGATTTACATATTGACATTCTTCTTAGTTATCTTCATTCGAAATGAGTTTTTTCTTTTTAATTGACACACAATTGAACACTCAGTGTTCTCACTCCATAATGTTTGCATAACGGGATACATTCTTGAAAATGTTTGACTTTTGGAATCCATAATGGAGATTATTGTTAATTCTCCACTTTAAATGATCAAATTAAAACAACCTTAATTAAAATCGGTAGCAATGTCATGTCACCCATGGCTTAAATATTATTATCCCAATATGTATACTTTAAGGTAGATGACATTTCTAATAAAACACCAATCATTTAAAGACCTTTTGACCCTGCGAGTAGATAGACAAGCGAATTACACACACGTCCGCACCTAACCCGAGAGTGCATCAAATCATTACCTTCAAGCACACACCTAGCACAGCACGCAACGAGTGTATCACTCCACGCTCAGTCTATGGATGGGCTCTGATACTTTGTGTGGTAACCTACCCGCACGCATGGTCAAATCGAGCGCGCACAGACATCCCCGGCCGCACAAAAGCGTGCATCCACAGCACACATATGCAACCATGTCCCACACTCACCCCAACACTTCCTCCTTTAACCTTCGTGTCTCAGCTGTTCTCTCACCTCACCACTCAACTTCATCATTAACTCGTCTCCTCTTCTTCTTTTGTCTACATGTTGTGGGTTGTAGACGTCGTCTGCTCCTACTGGAGTCTTACTCTGCTGTGATGATATATACATCGCCTCACCTGCTATATTGTCTCCTCGTGTGCTGTTGCCTAATGCTTCCTACAGGACGATGTCACTCTCTTAAATTGAACCAGCACACGCGGGCCCCTCATGGATTATCTTATTGGTCTCCTAAAGTACCCGTCCACGCATGGCCCGCAAGAAGACCTCCTCAATGGAACCAATTGGAAGTACAGAATTGCTGTGAGTATTGTCAATTTGTGCCATTATTTTGAGGGGTAATTGAACAGCGATTTTTAAAAATTAGATGGCTTAAATTTCCTCTGTGGTGTGGTTTATTTTGGAGCCGATTCGGCCACACACGAAAACGCCAACCAAACTAACACATAGGTGATGGTGGTGCTTTCATCAATTAGGTAGGTGGTCTAAGTGTGTGGTAGTAAGGACCTCTACAGAGAGAGCGAGAGAGAGAGCGCGGGTTTATTTGGCTCCCATGTAGCCCCCCTTAAATGTGGTAGAAGTGTTGAGAGTCCACGTCTCCACGTGGGTGGTCCAGGCGCCACCTCGATTTGTGCCGTTTTTCGCCAGCTATTTCCTATATATAGGAATTGATTTTCGATAAATTGGGTCTCTGTTCGAACTCAGATTCCTTTTTGAACCTGCTTATTTAGGTTAAAATCAAAAAATCCTTAAAATAGTCTATTTTTATTAAGTGGATAATCGAGCTTATTTTAATTGCGTATTTTTTGTTAAGTTTCAGGTCAAAATCCAGATGATCTTCTTACGTTACAAGAAGTGTTGACTCACGAGAGAGCAATCCAAAGAGCAGCTGAATCTCAGCAGTATTTACGTCGGACGCAACGAATTCTTAGACTTCAACATCTTCAGTGGCTATCCCATAGAGAATTTTTAGCTTCCTTTGGGAAAACTCTCAAAACTCGGCGAAAACGTCAAAAAAGGAATTTGCCTTTGGAAATCGCCTCCACGCTCTCTTCTTCTACCCCTTTGTCCACTACTTCCCCAAGGGCAGAACCTTTGGGAAATCAGACATCTGATGGAATTCACAATTCATCAAAAGCTCTTAATACCACTAAACCGGTTTCTTTCACAACCGCAACTCCCGTAACAACAGAGGAGCTTCAGGATAGTGCATTCGTAACTGTTCACCGGCTAGCGATCCGTTCAAAAACCATTCTTATTTCTGGTGGAGTGATGCGAGCCCGACTACGCTATTTTATTCAACTTCATCGTGTAATCGAAGGGCGGCATAAACTTTCCGTTGAAGTCCGACTTCATCCACAGTATCCGCCTATCTATGTCGGGTAAGTTGGTTAAATATTAATTACCATTGAAATTTACTCTTTAAAGACGAGTTCTATAGTAAATTGTCTCCTACCAACCAAAAATAGTCGTCTATTTAGGTTTAAAATGAAATGATGGGTTATATAACTTAGGAATTTCACTCAAAGAGACTAGACCCAGAACCCTTACAATGCGTCTCTTTCTTTTCTCAAATTTAATTTAAGAAATATTTCTTTCACCTCAGTGTCATCTTAATCTCCTTTCTTTAATACAAAATAATTTGGTGACGACTATGTATCCACTATCCACTGCCACTTTATAGGTGGTCCGCAATTCATTTTTATATATAATTTAAGTAGGATGGGTATACCATTTCGTCGTATCGAGTTTAATTGGTGTACAAAAAGACGAAGGAGACAGCATAAGTAGCCTAAATGGGGATTATTTTCAATTTGTTGGAAATAAATACACACACACAGTGAGAGAAAGGCGAGTGTGCTAACCCCACTCGTCTCTAATTAGCAGCCTAATTACCCTTTTGCTGGCTCATTTTAGCCTTGTCGTCGTGGGAGGTCTGTGAATAGATAAGGCCACATAACAAAGGTTGGAGGTGGTGTGGCTATGAGGAGGGCACACGCTCGCACTATGCGCGCGCGCATTTTTTTCGTGGGACTGGACGTCTTTTTTCGCGTCATCGATGCGGTAGGTCCACCTTCCTTTGGTAGAAAGGTCCTCATTCTTAGCGAGGGGCTGGGCTAGTTAAGCCAAATTTCTGCGCGATCATGCATATTGAGGAATGAGAGTTGAGGCTATCCATGAGCGAGGGTGTAAGCGGCGCATGCACTCAATCATGAGCCCATTTTAATTTGATCGACCAAACTTTGCTTTTCACCACGTTAGTCTCTATTCTCGGTCTCTAAATTGTTAAAACCTTCCTCTTCGTTCCAAATCAGTCATGTTTTATTCAAAGCACTTTAATGGGAACCAAACTCGAAATCTCAGTGGTGACTTGCTTAAAATAATATCAGCATATTTTAGTTTGCCCGTGTCTGACATAATCTGAGCATTTTAAATGGGAAGAAGGAGGGGGCAAGTGTCCCAAAATGTTTAATTTAGGCAGTCTTAAAATTGCGGAAAGAATTTACCTAGGCTAGATCCTGGGCACCAGCCCTTAGGCCAATGGCAATGGGGCTACCTACCGCATCGAAATGATTTACCTGTCAACAGCCCACTTGTCTGCTTTCATATACACACTAATGTCACCCAGGTTTACAATGCTAGTTACTACTGCATACGTACACAGGGGCAATGAATGCGTGTATGTTTAGACCCCACACGAAGACGTTGACGACGACGGCTGCCGTGTAAAATCAACTGATTCTCCACCCTACCTTAGGCCTGACTCCTCCTAGCCTGCTTCGTGGGTGGCCCAAAGACATAAATGTGAATGTTTGTGTCTGCTCTTAAATTAAAAGAAAAAGTCTACACTCCCTTCCTTAAATCAATAAATGAAATATTACACCTACTTAACCCATTTCAGTAACTAAATTATTTAAAATTACAGAACGGTTGAGGACGTGTGCACCTACTGGCCAGCCGATGCACCGGGATCGGAATGCTCCTTGAAGAAACGCCGATTCTATCAGAAAGGCAAAATATGCCTCTGTCACATGCCTCCAGGGCTTTATCATCAACGCCTCAAGATTAATTTTGCTAATGTCTTCGAAGGTGCCCAAATTTCCCAATTTCTTATAAACATCCTCTTCTCCGGACAGGTAGTAATTTGTCCAACGTAAATTACCCTATGTTACTTAGTTTCTTTTGTGCTAATCGTTGCTCTTCAAATTTAGCATCTCAACTTGTATGTAACAGTAACGCTGAAATCAGCTGACAATGCAACTGTCGCCTGTTCTCAATCCAAGATACCGGTATCCTTCTCGTCTCTCTAGTGTCTGGACTATTCTCTTGAGGAGCATTTACTCATTTGCCAAGATATCGATCCTATCATTCAGGTGTATATAAACTTACTTTATGAACTACCTCCACTGTGTATAGAAATTAACATTTTATCAATCCATTCGCACCCTTCCTGCCAAATCACTCGTTTTGCGTTTGATAAGGTCTTTAAATCTCCTTCTCCCGTTACACATTCTCAATCTAACTTCATATCTACGCACACCACACACACCCCTCACCCCGTGCCGTCATGGCTATTCTGTTATTTTGTGAGACCTTACTTCGATATAAAGAAAAATTAGAGATTTCTTTTTATACAACTGCGTCTACTTTTTATCGTGCTTTGTTTAGTTATTAATGAATGAGTGATAGAATTCAAAAAATGCCAATTATTGATTGAATATGAGGGTACTCAAAGCCTTGACATGTATAAATTGTGGAATTTTAAAGAGTAGTTTTGATCGAGGACAAAGAAATTATAAACAAATCGAATAGTGCGGTGATACAAGCGGGTAATCCATTGAAAGACGTATGGCTGTGAAGGGAATTTTGAGATAAACACAAACAATTGTTTTCTGTCTCTGTGCAATCTAATTTGAGATCTCTAGAAAACCTACATTTTCATCGACTTTGCGTAAATAGGCATCATGTGGCATCTGAATATGTTTTGTTTTAATTGGAAGCTCCGGTTTGCTGCAATCCACTTTCATAATCGTCTTCATTTAACTATCTCGTATACGTTTTCATTTTTCCATAAATAAATATTGGCTCAAATTTCGTGAGTATTTTGAGTTGTGTCATAACGATCCACTTCAAATAGATCAATGGACATGACTTGCCTGATATTCGAACAATTAAAGACAGTCCATAATTTTGCTAATTACTCAGTGAAATGAAGAATGTGTTTTTTTTTAATATCTGCAACAACTGTTTACCTTTGCCAAAACTAACGGGTCAACTCGTAGCCGTGGTTTTGGTGTCACTCCGTGATCTTGGAAACTTCGACATGCTTCCTTCTGTTGAAGAATTTTATTAGTGAAATAAATGGTATAGAAAAGTGAACATGTGAAACGATATGCTATTTCTACAAACCCGCAACAACGAGTTAAGACAAATCAGTCGAAGTAAATCCAGATACTTTAAAATAGCCCATTTTGAGAAAGGTTTATAAATCAGCTATTTGGCCAGTTGAAAGACACTGAGGAAAATTTCTTCCCATTCAACATCTACCGGAAAAAAAGCAGAAATACGCATATCATGGTACAAATGGAATTATGCTTCTTAAAGGAATATGGTAAACAAAAAAATTAAATATTCCCCATTAAATTCAAACAAAGCACAATTCTGGTTGCCACTACTTCGTCACCTGTTTCCCGTCCCCTTCCCGCACCTTTCTTGGACTAGCTTGCTATTTCCATTATTGCCATTACTACTAATATGCGCCGAAATGCAGAAGATGCCGAGAGTGAGATCCGGTTGCCATGGTCTCCTGCTTTATTTGATTTTGGGGTTTGTGCTGTGCAATGACTATTAGGCGATTAGCTCAAATTCCCTGGATTAGTGTAAATTCTGCCTCTGATGTTTAGCGCCTATCGGACACTTTGTGAATACGAAGCAACAGCTCTCTGGATCTCTCTCTCCCATTCTCTTGTTTTTTCCAATTGTTTTAGCAGAGCAGGGGCGAGATAGCTGGCCATTGTAAGTTAAGAGGACTTCGTAGAATTGAAAAGGAATATTTATAATTCAGACACTTTCCCATAATAATGATTTTCGTGTTCCTTTAACCCAAGTAATCTGAGAACTCATTTGCGCAAAGAGGACATGTTTCATCCCCGGAGCAACATTAACACCTTGACGTTTTTCTGGTGGGTTATCCAAAGACCATTTACAATTAATACTAGCAATCTTGATTATTGTTAACCAATCGCAATGAATGGCGGTTATTAACAGATAAAAGATCCTACAATACAAGTGCTCTGTAAAAAACTCCCAAATGGAAACTTAATTTTTTTCGATAATAATAAGATCGATGTCCATGCACAGAATGGGGCAGAATTCTGGTTCCAAATCAAGGATAAATTATTTCATTTACCCCTAAGCGCCTTTTTTTACTAAATTCGGCTATTTATTGGCGTACACAAAAAAACCCAGCCCAACCGCAACAGTATGAAAAGCAGATCAAACGTGCTTCATCTTCAATATTCAAATCAGATACATCTCAATTAAAAGAGCCACAACATTACATTAGAGTAGAAAATGAATAACAAAGCAGAATGACAATATACTGCGGGGTTATCACAAATCATCCAGAGCTTCATGAGTCAAGAGTGGAACTGTAATATCTACAACAAAAAGCATAGGTTATGAAATGGTAAAATCGGCATCTAGAAAGCACAGAATAGAGCCATATTTACCAAAATGATTTTCAATTTGTCGCAGTAAACCCTCGTCATCAGGACCAGCAAAATTGATAGCTAGACCGCCTTTTCCGAACCGCCCAGAACGACCGATACGATGAAGGTAGGTTTCACAATCGACTTTCCCTTGCCTGTCCAATGGCAAGCGCCAGTTTATTACCAGATTTACCTAAAATATCGATCCATTAATTATTTACATGGGATAAAACGAGAGCCATAAATTAATGATATTTTAAAAGATGGTACTCTCAAAAGAGAGAGAGAGAAGAGAGAGTTGAGTTTAGACCTCAGACTCAGGAATCAGTAGGATTTATAATAATCGCTAGTCATATCCTGAACGAACTAAACTTTGTACTGTTGTGTGTGACAAGGTTCTGCAAAGCTATCCTACGTACGATGTTTCATGATGAAATGGCCAAATCCAAATCAATTTTCCTACCCGCGAGTTAACCTGTGTCAAGTGCTTCCAACATGAGGTCAAGTAACAATCACTTCCCCATCCCTGTATGATTATAATGCGAATTACATGTTTGTTCTGTACAGACGCGTCTCCTCACCAATTCCTTGCTCTGCAAATACAATTTTTAGGATATAATATGACTCCCAAGGGAATTTCATTTGTGAAGTCGATGGGGACACTATCGCATTACATGTAGGCTCTCAAAAACGCCGCTTTGTATTTTTTCGTGTTTTTTTAATTACACATTTTTTTCAAATCAGGAAACGTATACCAATACTTCCCAAGTTTAAAAATTGTGTAACAGTAGCTAACCCAAACATATTTTTGTATAATGAATTGAAAACCAGCACAAATCAAATCAGTTCAACTCTTCATAGTCACACTATGCTATATTGCATGTCATCATGACAAGTCTAAAAGATTTGAGCTTGTGTTGTCTCACCAACGGCCACTAAAATACTTTTTCTGTTGGATTAAATAATTAGAAGTGCAAAGGACAACAAATTCTTTACTGTTGTTTTACCCTTTTTCCATGAGTAAAGCTACTCTCCTAATAATAACATTAGCAGTGAAGATGGCAATCAAGCGAAATTAATTGACACGTGGAAACACTCGTTCCTCTTGTTTAGGTTAATACTTCTTTACCTCAAGTAGGGCATTTTATCACTGCCCCAAGCACATCGAGGCAGCGATCAAATTTCCAATGAAAGGGGAATGGAATAAAAGGACAGTTAAAATTAAAAATAGGCATACCTGAGGAATATCTAAGCCACGGGAGCAGAGATTTGTGGTGATGAGAACACGGAAATCGGCCTTCCGGAAGGTCTCGATGACAGCTTCCCGTTGACGCACATCCAGTTCACCAGATAGAAGGCCTACTTTATGACCGTCACGCGTGAGGAGACGCTGCAGCCAATTCGCTTCACGCCTAGTCTACAATATTCCACTGACCCTAAGTTAAATGGTGGGAGCACAAGCTGAAGAGTCAACCATTAGCTGTCACGATTAATTGTTCACATATATATAATGTGGCGGTATCCTCGGAGAACCGTGAACGATGATGCTATACTATTCCAATATTATCGAGGTTTACCGAAAATCCGCCCAGGGCGGTTAAAAGGAAAATCCCATTTCATTAAACTACTTTTGGAACCAAATAACCGCTCACCCAAATAAGGGCTCATGGAAGCTTATTCGGATGGGCGTACTTTCGGAAAACTCTTGTACCATACTTCGGAATACTGAAAAACATATGTTAATCTACACAATGCGTGGCCCGGATGAGATTAACAATGTGGAAAATGCAAAAAAATGATACAACATTTAATGTGTTCAATACGCTGTACTGAAACACATAAAATTCCGCATTCAAATAAAATGATAAACAAAACACCCAAGTTTTGACCACCCTAAACCAAAAATCATGTGAAAAAATAGATTTTGTTACATAATAGATACACTGAATCCGATACATACCGCGCAGAATATAATGGCCTGGCCGACATGGAAATAGCCGTAGATTTCAGCAAGTCGATCATACCTATCATCGATTGTATTTGCGTAGATGTAGACCTGTTTGATATTAGCCAGCGTCAGCTGATTGCGCCGAACTCTAAATTCCACCGGGTTGGGTATGATTGCTCGAGCAAATTCAATAACCTCCTCATCATAAGTTGCCGAAAAGAGGAGGAGTTGACAATTTGTCGGGAGCTTCCTAGTCAAAACAAATGGAATATATATCAATAGTAAGTAGGCAGGAGAGATGAGAGTGAATGTCACCTTACTTAACTAGTCTCCTTGACGTATGCAGAAATCCTGACTCTTCCATCATGATATCAGCCTCGTCCAGAACAAACATTCGGATGCACTGGAGATCGATACGATAGGACCCCGTACCTCGTGCCCAGAAGGTCATTGTTCCTGGCGTTCCGATAACAATCTGGCTCTTTACATAACCGCTATTGTCAACGGGCGCTGAAAACGCATAACACAGCACTTGAAGATACTAAATGTCTGGATGACTACAATATATAGAAAAAAATAGAAAAGGATGGCAAACAGCGACTAAATAAGTTAAAAAACCGAATGAATCAACTGAAATATATAAGGCTAAAAAACAAATCTTTATCATGACTAAAGTAGGCAACTAGAGTAAAAAACATACCGAGTTCTCTTGGCTTTTGCTTGCAATCAGGACCCACTGGAAAGTTTTAGAAAATTGAACATTCCAAAAAAAAGATATTCCTGAATTTCATAAAGTGACTACGTATAGACACGATATGGCTGGAATCGAAGAGCAAACTTCAATATCCCAATTAATGTGAAGGGCTAATATCTCCAATTTTCGTAAATGAGATAGTCGTTCTGCAATAATCCTACTGAGCAGTTTTAACTATTACGAGAGATGAGTCTTAATCAAGAGCGTCCTGTGAGCTAACGACCGAAGTAGCAAGTTTACCCATTTCTATCTCCAAATTTATTAAGTATTTCCCAATACAGACCTTGATTAGCAGGACCAGCTCTGTTAAGATCTATGAAGTCCGCAACCCCTCTTGTTGACCATTATTAACCACACCTATTACTAAATGCTTACCGACGTATAATAAACTCTGACTTAGTGGGCATACATGTCAGTCATTGATCGATCACATATCTTGGACAAAGCTTTGACATTATAAAATTTACCTGCAACGCATTTTATAAGAAAAAATTAATTCAATAGTTAGTCAATCAAGTCAGGTTTTTTTCGCCTTTAATCGATCATGGACAAAGGCTCAATTTAGTAGCAGTAAAGCATAGCCAAGCAGTTTGAATTTAAATTATAAGGGAGAACATAGATATCTCTACTGATACACATAAGCCCCCAGATGTTTGGTTTCCCAATTGTAAGAATATACGAAAAGTCCAACGCAACAATGGCATCAGGCCATTTGATCTAAAGCATCACGTAAATTGAGTGCTTGCATAAGACCTACATGAAGACATGACAGAGAAAGGTGTTAGGAGAGATAAACACAGTGGAAATAAGTATCAATAAATTTGTAAGCCAAGCTTATCATCCAAGAACATTACATTTTGGAAACTTAGTACTTCTTGCTCAAGTGAAAGCTTATTCAAGCTTTAGATTTGTTCAACAAATTAGCTTAATGAATCCCGACACTGTGGAATCGTTAAAATGAATTAGCAAATAATTATAAAAATTACTATGACTAAACGAAAAAATTTAACAAGATTTCCCGCCCGTAATTAAACTAAAGTCACTTTTTGTGATACAAGTTAGATGCATCAAGCAAGTATTTTCCTTCTGAAGGAGCCAATGGAATGAAATCGTGTCGTAATTTTTTCAAAAGGTATACACCTTAGATATAAGACAGAGGTATGACTTCATGTCCACCACTTTTCACTAGAACTAGGATCGATATTTTTGCTGAGGAATAGTAGCTACTAATATTTTCATTTCACATCCTGATTTTAAAAAAACTGCTTAACAAGATTTACGTTCAAGGAAAGGTTGCTAGTGAACTGAATAAATTAGCTAAAATTTGCAAGAAATCTACAATATTATGCAGAGAATGGTGGATTTAGGAACTTACGTATTTCTTCTCGAATGGCCAAACCAATAGATATTTGAGGTAAAAAGCGGGACATTTTTCGGCAAACAGTACCAATTTGGACAGCTAGCTCACGAGTAGGAGCCAAGCAGAGGCATTGACAACGCTCCAGGTTGACGTCAACACGGCTTAGCATTGCCAGAAGAAAAGTTGCCGTCTTCCCCGTACCCGACTGGGATTGAGCGATCATATTACTAGGCCTGCATAGACCAATAGATAGTCAATAATGGTCGACAAATAGGGGTTCAACTTGATCAAAAGCTAGGCATACTTATCACCAATAAGGTATGGGAGGGCTTTCTCCTGAATAGCGGAAGGCTTATTAAATCCAAGTGCTGCAATTCCCTTTAACAATTGCGGATCTCTAAAGCCAGTATAAGTTCGGATTAAAGGATAACCAACAAGTTTAAATCCTGGAAGGTTTTAACTGAATGTAATGGATTTGACGGATCTTCACGGAGCATCTCAATGTCACAAGCTTGTGTTTCGACGAGTTTCGTATTGAGAAGTTTATTTATGTAAGATTTCTCAGCCCTGTTAATTCCGTTGTCTGTGTCATCAACTGTATCAGAAGTAGAAGGATCGAATGAAGTTCTAGCATTCTCAGAATGGATGGGGGCATTCTTTTTCCCATCGCCAGATTTCCTTGGAATCTCTTTTGAAAACTGATTTGGTGGATTTCTGGAGGCCATTATAGTCTAAACGAGAGAAAACAAAGTGAATTAAGAAAGCTTATATACAGAAACAGAAATTCAGTCAAGCTTAAAATAATAAAAATTACGGTTAAATGAACTGGGAAGAAAATAATAATTATTATTCACATTTAAGAAACCATTTGGAAATTGCTATATCAAGCAGAGAATTGAACAGAAGAAGTTTAGTACTATAGTGCAACCACCAAGCCTACCTTGAATCCCCGCAAGGGAGGGGCTAAACTAGCAACGATAGTTAAAAGCGGTAAATAAACGCTTTTAAAGCAAATGGATTACTTCATAGCGTAACATAAAGTTGACAAGATAATTCATAGAATTTTGCAGTTTGATGATATTAAATATATTTTTATACGATACATTAGCTGAAAGTCATGCGCGGGATATTTCTATTAGAGCAATAGCATATGCCTTAAGTATTATCTATCCCTGTTTCGTAGACCTTTGTAAATAAAATATTTTTGCCAATAAAAGTGACAACAAGTTCTTTTAAATAACGTTGGATTAAAGGATTTATCACTAGCTTGTGCATATAGAAATGAAATAAAAAGTAATGTGGAATAATATTTTAGTCAAAAAAGTGTCGATTGAATATAATATCCTATAGAAATATTTTATGCTCTGTTAATTGTTAAACTTGTAGTTTATTATTTTCTCATATTTATAAAAACACAACAACAAAGAACATTACTGAACTTTTAATTGATTTCATGAATTTCCTAAGTCCATCAACATTTTTAAAGAAACTACGAGAGAATTGTTTCATGATATCTTGAAAGAAAATATTTTACTTTAAGGCAAATTAATGGGTTAGTGTTCCTCGATATTATAACAGCAGAAATCAAACCAAAGGAATACTAATGAGTCAATATAAATATAGAATATACGGCAATCAGCTTCATGTCTTGCCGTTTTTTAGTAAATTTTTATTTGCTCTTTGAATTCTGCATTATCTGAAGTTAGCTTTCAGTGATAATCTCCAAAGCTATGTGATTCAAAGCGGTATCAAATCTACTTTGAGCAATTTAATTTCTCAAACCCATTAATGCATTATGAATTGCATGTCTAACAAGGCTATTTACATAGTACATAGATTATATATGCCTGAGGATTACAGAGATTTTAAAGACTGTTCTTGACTAATTAATTACATAATGCGTATGTAAATTACTGCATACCATGTAGATAATTTGAATCACTTCGACGTATCTTGTGCTTTTTTCTCTTTTGTAATGACAAATACTCTGTTAGCCAAAATCATTCAAAAATTTCAAAGTAGGGCTAGAGGCACAGATTTATAATAAATAGCTTTGTTGCAAACAGCAAATATTATTCAGCCCCAGTCGATCGGAAATGCTATGCGCTCGGTAGCATTGTTCAATAACCTCTAGATGAGTGTGCTGTTACAATGACACCTTCAAAGATGTCAATAATTATGTGGACACATTAATGACAAGGTGTGGCTGGCGTGTCATGCAAAAGTTTTTATATGTGTACCCGAATAAGCTTGTCAATCAATGACTCTAACTTTCCAGGTCGCATTCGAGTTGGTCTGTTGATATGAATGACTTGACACATACCTTGACTCTACCCTCCCCCCCCCCATCACATAACTGGGTATTTTAATTTTAAAACCTACTTTTCTTAATTAAAAGCACCAATTTTAAATAAGAATTTACACTTTTTAAGTGCACTTTAAAGATCGCCAAATAACTTTAAATATGAGTAACGTAAAGGAAGGAAATTCATGTGAAGTCAAGTGCAGAATTGAATATATTTTTATAAATTTGTTAGAAAGTCGAAGTGCATATTTCTGACGCAGCTGATTGAAATTCACGTGCATTGAATTAGCGTTTATTACACGGGTATTGTATATTGTCTTGGTAAAACAAAACTCTCTGGTCACAAATGACTGGTTTGTGGTATTGAATCATGCACACAAATTACCACATACACCGCTAACTAGGTGAATAGAATTTGGTGCACAAATATTTTCCCTGTTCTGCAATGACAGTAAGATTATGATGCTCTGAAATTTCGGATTGTTTACGAAAATGTATAAAGTACAGTCGTTAAGAGCTTAGACAGTTCATATTTGAAGTTTAAGAATAAGGGCCAATAGGCGGTCTTTCGAATTGCGTTATCTTAAACGAGAGAAAAAGGTTTAACACAATCACGCTAATTAATTACTTGGGTGATGACGAGTATGAAGATGTAAATACAGAAGAAATTTAAATAAGACGGAAGAGTTATTGAAAGAATGAGAATCAATGAGTATAAACAGACATGACAGGTAGGGTATAGAGACATTAATGAACCCAAGCGGTGTTGGAATCTAAGTACTCTCGTGGATAAAGAGGTCAAGGTAAAATTTTGGGAAAATGGGGGGTCTCTTTTAAGGTCTTACATAAAAATAAGTAGCTGAAAGTATTAGTGTCGATACTGAATTCAATATGAGGATCCTTTGAAAAGAAAACAGGAGAACAAATCTTTCTGAATTAGTTAATAAAAAGCAAAAATCCCAAATCAACACGTCATCCTTCGAATTATTTATTTATTTATCTCAAATGGCAGGCGTTTTATAAATATCATTAACTCTTTAGCTGACTTCAGGCTTCACAGAGAGAAGGAACAGACAAAGTCACAAAAAGTGGAGGGGAATGGAACGGAAGAGTGATTTACTGATGTAAATGAGACAGTCAGATATAAAGGCAGAAAAAAGGTAAGATGAGTACTGTGAAAGTGGTGGAATATGACGAGTGGGGTGATGGTGGTTTGAAGTGAGAAGTCAACTACCCGAGTACTGTGAAAGTGGTGGAATATGACATACAGTGGGGTCTGACTTCTGTGAAACTTGTAAAACTTTTTGGCATTGAAATAGATGTCAGAGAGCTTAACTTCGATTTTATTTGATAAAATAATTCATCTTCATTAAAAATCTCTTCACTGGATTCATCCTCAGTAATCCCCTAGGTAAAAAAAAATCAGAATGAAAAAAGACTCTTGGAATTAGAAAAGCTGTAAGGGAAGCAGACGAGAAGGAAGTGTGATGTTCACTGAAATTCTGCTCACAACTAATATGATTAGTAACTGAATGCAGTTCAAGTAGTCTTCTGAACGCACAACCACATCCTGCAGAATGCTTGGGGGATTGTGCACCCCGCCCCCTAATATCGAAATTAAAATTATTATTATTATTATTATAAATTATTGGTGTTTTAGTAATACAGTTTTTAATTTTAGGGACTTTCTTCTCAATCGCCCTCCAAGGTAATATGGTTTCCAAAAAGTGTAACAGTTGTCAACAGGATGGTTCATGGAACAATATTCAGATCGTGAAAAGACGGGATTTTCTCCCATCATTTCCCATTTCAAGGCACAGTTTTATGGAAGACATATGTTTTCCCCAAATGATATTACTTTTATCAAAATAAAAAAGTGGGCCATTCTGTTAACTCCTGCAACTATTTGCCCAGCATGACAACCCTACCTCCTAATATGCCTAATTATATAACTATTCAAGGTCAAGTGCTCTTGTAAAGTAAAAATCGAATACTCACTCTTTAACCAACCTCATTGAAGTCATAGAAGATTTGAAACCATGAACTACTCTATTTCGTTTTTAAAATTCCGGTTACACAACTTTGTAGAATGATCAAAACTCCATTGGCATTGCTTGCCCAGTATTATAATAGGAGGCACTTAAATAATTAACTTTACTTCTCTTCTAGGTAATCAAGAATATTAAATGCCGATAACTAAAAAATCAGGTAAAGAAGTGCATTTAAGGCTAGTGAACTGTGATCGATAAATCGTGCTCTTGGAACCAGCGAGGCATACTGTGGAATGAGAAGGTTCTATAGCAAAAAATGCCCCTAAATTAAGAATGATAATTGATTGAATAATAATTATACTCGAAATATGAACTAAGTTTTGTTAGTAATTACTATAAATTTTACTGAATATTATGCAGCTATGTATAAAAATCTTTTAGAAGATCGAAGTTATCACAATCATTTGTTATTAATATGTTAAAATTTTTAATAATTAAAATATGTTAGTGCTTTCGTATTGATTTGAAACGTCTTTATTAGAACCTTTTCTTGCGAGTTAACGATATGTGGTATGTCTATTCTTTCAATCAAATCGGAGGGAAAATTGTATTGGTTCGAGTCATATGCGAACGCGGTACTACATTTAAATGCAAAGCACATCATGTTGTCAGCAATTAGCACAAATTACTGCCTTTAGCAGAATCTTGACCTCTAATTTTTAACTGAATATTTTTATCTCATTTATGACAAAATTCGTAAAATTGGTGCAAGCAGAGGTGATCCAAAAATTGTGTCTAATTGAATTATTATCAATAATATTCCTCAGGAAATGCTTTTATCATGGAACGTCCTACAAATAAAGCAATGGGGAGTTAAAGACTGACCAAGAAGTCTTCAGAATCACAAAGGTGAGAGGAAGTGACCATATCACCAGCCTCGGAAACAGCAAGGGACTGTCATGGGGCATGTCTGAGGTCCATGGCTCTCAGTTGCCACCTACTATCCTCTTTGTTCTGCGAGCTGGTAGTCCCATTTTAATGAATTGGCTATTGAAAATATGTCTACATCTATTAACCGGCAGTTGACTTCCGACCTCAAACTACAATGGCTCCACTGTATGTCATTTTCTACCACTTCCACAGTTCTCACCTCTCTTTGTTCTCTGACTTTGACTCTCTGTCTCCTTTACATTTGTGAATCATTATTCTGCCCCTCTCTCGACTTTTTGTCACTTTGATGTTCCCTCTTCTCTGTGAAGCCCGAAGTCAGCTACAGGGCTAATGATAACTATCAAAACGTTTAAATAAATATCATTTCAGTTAAAAAGAAAGGGAGATATCGACATTGAAAATACATTTCTCGCAATTTCGGAAACTGGCAGTGCTCATTGGCCCATAAGAAACGCTTTAGTTAGAAGTGTTTTAGGGC